TCTCTCATTTTCAAAGTCTAGAAAGAAGACAGATGATGAATAAATACACTTGCCTGTTGTTTAGTTTTGCTCACTGATATATTCTAAGCATGTAGAAATGTGCCAAGCATATAGTAAATGTTCAATAGGTATTTAGTGAAATAAATGAATAAACTGTAGACTTCTGGATGGGTCTTATTAGGGTCACAAAATCTCACAAATTCAAGTGTCTTGGCTTCTTCTAATTAAGACCTTGTCCTGGGCAATCAGGTCTCTGGGTAAAGATAGTATACTGCCTCAAAATGGGAATTAGAGCCAATCTCTGCATATAGAATACCCAGGAAAGCCTCCTCTTGTTGGATCTCCATTGATCCTTGTAACCACTTTAGTAACCCCTTCTGCTTTGAATCAGGGGTGATCTGTATGACCAATAGAATAAAGCAGGTGACAGTGTGTGACTTTCACAGCTCTGTCAAAAAAGACAAAAGACAAGATTATGTATTGGTCTCTTGGATCCCTTGGATCCCTTGTTCTAGGGGGTGGCTGTGAAGATATGCAACTCTGTGGAGAGGAAATGAGGCCTTCTGCCAATTGCTAGCACCACTTCCTAGCCATGTAAGTGTGTGCTCGGAATAAAATCTTCCAACCCCAGTTAAGCTTTCAGGTGACAGAACTGAGGTTGACATCTGATGCAACTTCAGGAGGGACCTTGAGTCAGAACTGCTCAGCCAGGCCACACCTGAATTTTTAACACACAGATACTGTGAGGGATACCCAAAAAAATAGTTATTAGTGTTTCAAACCACTAAATTTTGGTATAATTTGTTATGCAGCAATAGACAACTAGTACAAAAGGGATTTGATTCTGACTTGTGTTTCAGCTAGATTATCATTGAAGTACAATGAACACTGACATAAAATAGTTTTATGTGCATTATTGACAAGTATTTCATAGACCTTGTCACATTTGTCACTGCCCCCAAGTGGTCCCAAGATGCATGTGGCTTGTGCGGAGCAGCCTTACCATGCTGATCTCAATTCCTGAAGCTAGTTCTTTAGATAATTGAGAGCATATGAAGGACCCCAAGGAGTGATAACAATATTTCTGAACAAATGAGTCAAGGGATCAGGAAACACCATCAAGCACCTTCTGTTTGCAAGACCTGTCTACTGGGGATAAAAAGAGCAATGAGTCAGGCTCACTGTTTTTCCATAATCCATGAGGGACAGAATACATACATGAGGAGTTAATTAGCAATTCATGGTAGTCAGTCTATGGCTACTGTGGTCCATTCTTTGACCTATTTAGAGGGTCCTTGACAAGTAAGAGGACATCCAGGGGATGTGCTTTCTGAGAAAACAGGGGTCTTGAGCATGGAAGAGGGGAGCCCAAGCAAAATGAAGATGATTGCCATCAAATATCTGAAGGACATCACAAGGAAAATAGATAAACCTGTTCTGACTTGTTCTTGAGCACAGAACAAAGACCAGTAAGTGAACTTACAAGAGGGTAGAGCATACCTCAACAATGAAATTTTTGTCAGATCTGCCTTGCATCACCAATGAATAGCAAGCAGTGGGTGATGCTGTAAAGGGGCTTGCTGCAATGTGTAAGAGGTTAGCTGACCTCTGAGTTCCCCAGAATTCCATGATGTGAGGAGGCTATGGCTGAAAATGCTAAGTAGACAGATAAAACCTCTTGTGTCACATGGCATAGTAGGAAAACCATGATCTTTGCAGGCAGAAGGTACTAGGGGATCAGGGAGTACCTCCTGAATTTACATGAAAAGCTATGTGAGTTTTTACCTGGTCATGAGCTCATTGTGAAAAGCAGACATAGTAAGATAGTGTGTGCCAAGCATGTGGTACATTAAGGAGTTCACTAGGTGGTCACTCTTAATGTTCTATCATGAGATTTATTGGACTTGCACACAGCGAAAATCATAGCCAACTCCCTGCCAGGCTGGTCCTTTGGGCAGTTGGGGAAAGCTATGACTTCTAAAACTATAAAAAAAAGGAAGCTCCCCTGTGTTCTTCCTAGATCCTAATTCTACCTGCTATGCCACATTTGCAAACACCTACTGATGCCTTCCATAAAATTGCCAATATACCTTGTAAGCATTGCCACCAACACATCTCCCTTCCATTGGTCCTTGGGCCAGAATATTTAAGTGGCATAATCTTTCTACAAAACTGCAGGGCTATTTTTCAATGGAATATAAGGTGAAGAGAGACAGGATGGGCCTGACTCCATTGGCATGGAGAGGATCTGGCTTTGCTGCCGTTATGGAGGTTGACCCCCCTCAATCAGAACAGTGGCTTCAGACGGCCAAGGGAAGGCAGTGGCCACTTTCTCCAGCCTGTAAGCTGCTACCAGATACATTTATATCTTACTAGAACACAAATCCAATTATATCTCTCTCCTGTTTAAAAGTAATCAATGGCTTCACAGACTGCCTACTGACTTTGTTTTTCCTGTTAAGATTCAAATACTTGCACACCATAGCTTTGCCTTAGCTTTCCAGCTTTATTTTCAAATATTGTTCAGAACACTCATTCTGTGTTCCAGGTAAACAGAATTACTCATTGTTCTTTCAGTGTACATCATGCTCCTTAGCCTTCAAACCCTACTGTTTCCTCTCATTTTGTTTTTTAATTTAGATGTATAAAAGATATATGTACAACTCAAAGATTAATAAAATTAATGACTATGTATCCACCATGAAGGCTAAGAAATAGAAGCCCACTGTATGCCCTTCTATACTTTTATCTGCTTTTTTCTCAGGAGAGGAAACTTTTGTTTTACTCATTCCTTTGGGGTTTTTCTTTTCTCTCCTTTTTTGATAGTTATTTCACCTGCATCTGTGTTCCTGCAACCACACACACACATACACACACACACACACACAGGCACCAACCAAGCTGTGTAAGGAAAAGGGTAGTATTACCACTTTCTGATAGAGGTCCCAGAAGATAAGCTGAATGGAGTTTCTGGGTCATGTATGGTTTGAGCCCCTTCTGGGGGGAAGTCAGTGGGCAGGGCATCTGGCAGGGCTGTTGTACAGTCAGAAATATGGTGAGATGGAGTGTTTATGGGCTGAACAAAATGCATATGTCAAAGCCCTGATCCCTTAGTACCTTGGAATGTGACTGTATTTAGAGATAGTGCATTAAAAAGGTGATTAAGTTAAAATGAGGTCTTGGCGGGCAGGCCCTGATTCAATCTGACTGGTATTCTTACAAGAAGAGGAAATTTGGACACGTAGACACTAGGGATGTGCATGCACAGAGGAAGGACAATGTGAGGACACAGTGAGAATACAGCCATCTGCAAGCGAAGGAGAGAGGCCCCAGGAGAAACCAGACCTGTTGATACCTTGATCTTGGATTTCTGGGTTTCAAAATTGTGAGAAAATGAGTGTTCATTGTTTAGGCCACACAGTGGGTGATATTTTTGTTGTGACAGCCCTGGCAAACTAATACAGGAATGGATGCTCTCTCTGTTCCATCTTACCTCTGATTCTCAGGAGCAGGTCTTCTGTGCATGGAATGGGCTTCCTCATCTATCCAGGCAGCAGGGCATGGAGAACATAAACTTGACTTGCAAAAAATAAAGACAGGCCAAGTACAGGTAAGAATATGTGCCAGGTGCACCAAGGCACTCTGTCCTTGGATTAAAAAGATGGTACAGTATTGTTGGAGACCTGGTGACAAAAGCCTTAGTAGATCCTTTCCTTGAGTTCAAAGTACTCCGACCTGGACAAGTCACCTCTGTCTTCAGTGCCCAGGTATTATCATGGATCACCATCATCATCCTCCTGAATGTTCTTGTTGGAAGCTGGTGGGATCCACTTTCTGTGCCTGGTGTTCCGAAATTTCCCAGTGATACGTCTGTTTTCACCCTATGTGCTAAGTACTTAGTGAGTCTGTCGGCCGCACAACTTACATCCTGTCATTATGGGCCTTTTTTCTTGGTTATTTTGTTGATGGCTTCCTCTCATCTGTGTTCTTTCTTTCTTTCGGAAACTACTTATTAATATGTTCAACTCTCTGATTTGGCCTGTGATTGTCTTGTTTGTTTTCCAACTCTTTATTTTCTTGCTCTATTTTCTAAGAGATTTCTTCAACTTCATATTCCAGCTGTTACTTTGCATTTTAAAAATTTCTGCTTTTATATTTTTAATTTCCAAGAGCTCTTCTTTATTTCTTAAATGTTTCTTTTCTATGGCTTTCTAGCTTTGCTTCCTAGATCTATTGTCTTATCCCTCTAAGGATATGGATTTTTTTGTTGTTGTTAAGTTTCTCCAGTGTTGTGTGTGTGTGTGTTCTGGTGTCTGCCTTTCATATTAGAAGCTTTCCTTAGATATCTGGTCATTCTTGCCTGTCTGCTCATGCCTCAGACTAGAGAACTGAACAGATGATAGAAATTCTGGGCGCGCGCGCGTGTGTGTGTGTGTGTGTGTGACTTGCCCACTTTAAAACTTCACTGTAGAGTAATTATGCCTGTTTGGGGAGAAAGTCCTGAAGTTAGTATATATACACTTTTTTCCTTGAGCTGATCAGATTCCCTTGAGAAGATTTTCCAATCTCTTCCATGGAAGCTGAGAGTTTGGCTGCCATGTTCTGGGGTCTCAGCATCAGTACACAAATGGTTCTTTTGGCACAGTACCCATGCCCTCAGCTGTCATGGCATCCCAATCCAGAGGCCCTCTGTTATACCTTCTCCAGAGAAAATTCCTCCAGTCTTCTCATTCAACTGCAGAGGGGAAGCCTCACAGCATCTTGGAGTGTGAGAAAGAAATTAGGGATTATAATACATCTCTGGAAATAAAGCCAATAATATTCATCAGCCAGCTTTTCCTAATCTTTTTACTTTAATCCTGCCTCCATCCCTAGTTCTAGAAAGATCTGGTGCTGTTGTATGCTGTCCTATCTTTTGAGGATTTTGCAGTGTAAATGGGGTCAGTTCTCAGCTTTCCCCACCACCGGTTTTAGGTCTGCTCCACCACTTACCCACTTTCCAGCTTTCAGAAGTTAGTTGCCATTGTCTCCTCTTCCTTGAGGTCTTTTGCAAAAGAAATCCTTTTACCTTGGGTTTTGGGGTTTCTGGAAGGAGCAAAATTAGATGAGTATTCCACCATATTAACCCACTAGTGTCCCTATATCCTGACTGTGTTCTCTCATCCTCTGGATTATTTCCGTCTATTCTGGCTTTTAAATCTCAGCTATTATAAAGGTCCAGCTCAAATGCCACCTCCTCTACAAAGCTGTTCGCAGAGTGGAACACCTTGCTATTTTTCTTTTCTCATAGTACTTCTTTCTCTGATATCTTCCTCCTCTCCTACCATACACATGTAAAACACGGTAGCAGGTAAATAAAGAAATGGTTTATTGCTATTACATTAGGGTACATCATAACATCACATTACCTACATTTTCAGACTTTATGGTCACTGTATTATAACTTCTTGGGATTATGGGCAGAGCATCGTCTAGGTTCCAGGGTCTGGCAATTTCTCCTTGTAAGTCCTTGGGCAAGTCAGTTAATCCCTCTGTACTTCAGTTTTCCTATCCTAAAATAAACCTACAAAATCAGGAGATGAAAACAGAACCTACAGAATTAGTCATAATGCAGAATCAAATAAAAAAACACAGGGAAGGAACACCTTCAGTGTGTGCATCAACTGCTATTACTATTATCATCCTCATTTCCTTTTTCCTTCACAGTGTTTTTTTTGGGGGGGGGGAAGTTGGTTTTTGAAGCTTCAAGGATTTTATTGAATGTGGCGGGTACCATGGTAATGTAATATGCTGTAAGATATCAGTATTTTTTTATGACTCGTCTCTGTGCTCCCTGAAGAGCCCTGCAGATTGCCTTTCACATAGCAGGTGTCTGAGGAATATTTGTTGAATTGAATATAGCATCTCAATATTTAAGGAGATTTTACATATGAAGGAAGACACAAGTACACAGTCATGCATGTGTGCTTTGGTTGTTGGAAAGGTTAGTATGCTCCATCTGATTCACAATATTGAATAAAAATACATCTGGCAATTTAGTCTGTTTCCTTCTGAAGACCCTACAAGTGTATGCTTTTGGCTCAAATGCTGTTGTCCTCCAGACCTGGAGAAAGCAAAAAGTAGGGTTTGGTGTAATCGTGAGCAAAGGCAGGATGAAATAGTCTCTCATTGTTTTAGGAGCTTTTTAAGTCTTGACATTAAAGACAATTTGCAACTTTAGGAAACCACCCTATTGAATCATAATGATCCCAAAATCTGTCTCACCCTCCCTTTTCCATGTGAATGATGTTTAATATTGATGTTTGCCTGTCTGCAAGGGTTATTTATGTGAACATGGGTAACCTTCCTGCTTAGGAACGCATCAAGTCTTGTTGCTCACCCTTCACCGGTGGTCTTGATTCAGAGTTTATGAAATCATAATCAATTGCCATGGCAATAGTCATGGTAGTCCCAAGCTGAGCACAAGTTCAGGTAGGTGGAGCAGATGGACTTCTAAGCAACAAAGACCCTATCATCATGTAATTGTTCGTAGTAACCAAAACCACAGAAAGAGAGACATATAATGTAAAGACTGGTGCATAGTCTCCATTGTGTTACCCAACATGATCCTGCTCAAAGCTTTTCATGAAGGATTTGTGTCTTGTTAACATAGCTGGTGAGAGGTGGAGGAGGAAACTGTAACAAAATGATCTCTTTTTTGAGCAGGAGAATTCAAACACTCAACTTTAAAGGGTTTGATTAGTGAGTTTGTAAAATACCTAGGTCTCTTGAGTTGTTAAGTTTTAACACTTGGTTTTGTTTGCCTACCTTTTCTTCTTCCTGTAATGCTCTAAACCAGTGCCTCTCAAACGTAAATGAACATGTGAATCACCTGGGGGTGTTATTAAACTACAGATTCAGAGTCAGCAGTCTGGGGTGGGGCAGGAGTCTGCATTTCTAACAAGCTCACAAGTGATGCTGATGCTACTTGTCCTCAGACCACACTGAGTAGATGAGACCTTTGAAGTGAAAATCCAGGTTTTAAGTCAAAATAAGGATCTTATGACTGACAAGCTTCCAGGAACACTTCCCCTCTGGTTACCAATAACATCACTGTGTTTCCAAATTCTGAGCCACATGTTTCCTCACGTTTTAACTTTTCTGAAATTGGTGTGTGGCAATCATATTAAGAAATTTTTACAGCTACTTGAGCAGACAAGAAAGTTGTGACATATGGGTTATCTGAATATATGTGAAATTTGTGGTTGGTAGAATGTGTTTGTTACCTCAGTTATCTGCATTGGTAGCACCACATGGGGGTCAAATTTTAACTTAACATTTGTTCATAATACTTTCAGAACGCACTTGGTTCCACATTGAATTCGTCTGGAAAACTTTAAAAAATATTGATGCCTGGGTCCCAGAGGTTCTAAGGCAATTGTTCTCCCCAGATGATTCTCACATGCAGCAAACTCTGAGAATCACTGCATTAAAATATCTTCGCAATGATCATGCAGTTACAGAACACTGAAGCAATACGTTACTGTGTACATGTCAGGCCATGTAAGGCTGGAGAAATTGCCCTTATCTTTCAGAAGAGATCATAGACTTTCAAAGCTCATAGAAGCTGGTTGTCAGTTGAGCAGGACTCTCAGCCAGGTAGTGATCATCTGTCAATGGAAGCCGCCTGACTTTGTTCCAGAGATGATGTTTTATAGCCAGTGATATATCAAAAGTGTGAGTTGAGAATATAGATGAAATCCTGGTTTTATTCAGTATGCCTCAAAATCATGCCCACCCTGAAGAGGCAGAGGTCAAAGTCATGAGCACAGGTTATAAAAAGCTGCATGTTGTGGTACTAAACATGGCTGCATATGGCCAAGGATGGTTTCCCAAATTTCTTTCACCCTCATGTGAAGAAAGCTTGGATTTAACTTAGACTGTGATACTAAATAAGAAAGGGCCCTTGCTGCAAGAGGGGTGCTTTGTGAGTCAGCTGAAGACAAGGTTTCTGCTGCTGTCGATGGACTAACTGAGCCTCCAGGAGCCCCTCTGTTCTGGCCCTGCAACACCCTCTTTGATTGTCTGGTCTGATCCTCCAGACAATAATGGAGAAAAGGGCATCATAGGCTGTTGCTCTAGTGAGGTAACATTCAAAACTGGAGGCCCTGACTTGACAGTCACAACTCGTGTCTTTGGGTGGGTCAGATCTTCAGTCCTTACAGAATAGGGATGGCTGACATTATATGTCTCCTGGCCCCTGATTTGGTGGTCAGTATGAGCCTGTGATCCAGGAGCCCTACCAGTCATTAGACTCTTGCATATACTAGAAGGAAGAAAACTGGTTCCGGTATGTTCTTACACACACACACACACACACACACACACACACCCCAACCCTTGGAAGAGGGGATAGCTCTAGAGGGGGAGGGGTTGGAATGAACTTGTTTGCTGGGTAGGTTAGGCCCTGGGAGGAATACAAGCAGCTCCAGGAGGAGGAAGTATTGAGGAGATTTCCCTAAAGAAGGGGAAAGTAATTGGCTTGGCAGGTTGGTCTAGTTGAGACCCATGGTCAGCAACTCTACCTTGAATATGACCTAGGGCTAGGCTGGATCAGAGGGAATTGGTGCCTAGAGAGACCTTCACAACTGCGTCATCGATGGGGTGTGTGCGTCTCCAGCCTCAGCAGAGACATGTAGTAGATTCTGTGAATGAACTGTCCCAAATGCCCCTGGCTATAGCCAGGTTCACCAGCAGCCATGTTGGACAGTTCGCATAAAAGCTGATGACTTCCCACCTCAAGAGCCTGACCCTATGTAAGGCCAACATTTCCTCTTGTGCTCTGCTAATTATCTACTTTTTCAGACTTCAGTTTTGCAATTATTACTGTTTTCTTTCCAATCACCAATTTCTTCCAATTTAGATTATCCCTATTAGCATATTAAAAACCTTGATATCATCTCTTTAAAAAACAATGCTAAAACTCTTTTCCCATCAAGATTTCCCAAAAATACTTCCTAAAATTAATTTCCTACCTCTCATTCTTTCTTCAGATTACCCAAGCATTCCACCACAACTCTGAAATGGCTGTCACTGGAGTCAATAATGACTTTTTATTAATAATCAGTTGTCCTCATTTTACTTTCAACAGTTTTTTGACATGATGGGCCACACTTTCTTTCTTGAAATCCTTTCTCTGGATTACCCTAATCTCATAAGGGTTTCCGTCTGCCTCCCTGTTCTATTCTCTTCATTCCAAACCTCTAAGTGTTGAAATGCCTGGGAGCTTTGTCTTTAGCCCTTTTCTCTTTTCACTGACCTCTTTGGTGATCCCATCAAGTCCCTGGAGTATAAATCCAAACCATTTCAAACTGAAATTCCTGAACTTCAGACTCCCATATGCAGTACCTCCGTTTGTATATCCATGAGACCTCTCAAAATTAATGGCCAAGAAATGGTCAGTTCTAAAGCTACTCCACCATCCCTACCCCTTGTTTTTTCCATCTTTACTTATTGGATTACCACACTCCCTGTTGCTCAGGCTTAAAATCTTGAGATTAATTCCTTTCTGCTGTCACATCATCCACAGTAATCCCACCAGCTTCCTGTCAAGACATCTTCTGAATCAGAACATGTCTGTCATCTCCACTTCCACGATCCTTGTCCAAGGCACCCTCAGCCTAAACAATAGCAGTGGCCCCCTAAGTGGTCTCCCTGCCTCTGCTTTGCCCCCTGCTTCCCTCTCCTCCTTTCACAGGGCAGCTGGGTTATCTTCTAAAACATAAATCAGACAACATCATTCTTTTCTTTAAAACCCTTCCATGCCTTCCAATAGCCTCAAACTCTGTATAATCCACTTCTTTGCCATGGTTTATAATACTTTTCATAACTTGGTTTTGGCTTACCTCTCAGTTTTTGTTTTGTCTTTGTATTTGGTATTTGTCTAGAAAGACTTATGTTCTACTTGCAATTTTTCGTACCATTATATTTTAAGTGAATGTCTTGAAAATAGCGTATGACTAGATTTGTTTTTTTTTTTTAATGAATCTGCTGAACATTGTTAAAACTAATTTATTTAGGGGTGCCTGGGTGTCTCAGTCAGTGAC